GCATCGACTTCCATATAATAACTATAATTCAAGATACAATCAATTTAGGAAGAGGCACAGGAATATTGTCTGTTGGGTATATACGCATGAATTATCCGGCTTTGTAGGGGGTGGGTTTTTTTCTTTCTTAAAAATATCGCTGTAGCGTTTATTTATACCGACGCCCAATTCTCGCCACAGATCCCAGCAGAACAACATAATATAGTATACCAATACGCCTGATCCCGTTCTCAGCCAGGCTACAAAAAAGCAAAGAAATATTAGCAAGTTCTAATAAGAACATCGCATTTATCTCTCTACACATAATCATGCCATAACATAAGGCACTGTAAATCACTGTAAACTTTAACAGCTGCCTAACATGTGGTTAACATCAAAATGTTAATGCACAATTTTGGCTTGATTTACAATCAATTTGAAAACATTAAAGCTTAGCCCATGCATTCTCATTCTGCTTATGCGCCTATTATGCAACTTGCTGGCGTAAAACTGAACGAGAGTGAGAGAACGAACGAGAGAGAGAGAGAGCGTGAGAGAGAGAGAGAGAGAGACAGCGAGTGAGAAATACGCTAAATAATGTGTAAATAAAGTGCTCGAGCTAAGCAGCAAACAGTAAAAATCACAACAATAACGAGTGTTTACCTGACTGCGAGTAGCTGTAACGTGAGTAAAACACACACACACATTCACACACACACACACACACACACACACATACGTGCATACAGGTGGCAACTCTTGACGCATAGACGTCACTTTATTACGCCATCGACGACGGCAGGCAGGCAGGCAGAGAGCCCAAGCTGAAGCAACCGAAATGCAATTACCCAAACACAAGAGACAAGACCAGCCCCAAGTCCAGCCCGACACCTGCCCCAAGAGCAGCTCTCTCCCAAGCAGAGCATAGGTGGGGAGACACAAGCGGGGCAGCGGGCAGGCGTGTGAGGCTAGAACCACGTCGTGTTAATTGTCATAAAACGAAACGACGCATTCAGAACTTTTATTTTGTTTGTATTTTTTTTTTTTTATATTTTTTAAAGCTAATCGAAGCCACAGCCAGCGTCGGCTTTGTGGCATAGTTAAAGCAGAGTGTGTGTGTGTGAGGGAGATAGTGGAGGGGGAGGGGGGGACACATGCTTGGCATGTTCATTTTCTATGCGTTGTCACATTCCTTGCAAATACCACCCCACCCATGCCACCCCGCTGAGCGCGCAGTTTATGGCAACATTATGCTAATAGCCAATTGTTTTTTTTTTTTTTTTTTTTTTTCGCGCCTGGCAACCAAGAAAAAGTACAAAAAATATATATAAAAATAAACAAATATAAAAACCAAAAAAAAAAAAATAAAAATTATTGTACAACATTTACAGTTGAACACGAGGCGTGACAGGCTGTGGGCCTGGGGAGGGGCAAGAGGTTTTGGTTGGGGAATTCAATTGAATTCAAATCAATTTCAAATTCTCAATATGGACACGCACATTTGATTAGCATATGACAATAGCTACAGGTATATAAATACAGATAGATATATTAGTAGATAGATGTGTAGTTAGATAGATCGGTAGCTGGAAGGAAGGAAAGGTAGACAGAGGGGAAGATAGGCTGATCGATTCGATTAATGGTGGACATTACGTGTTGTTCCGGCCATTGTCGGCGCTGTCTGCGCCATTCACTTGACCCAATTGATTTTGCAAATATTATTGTTGTTCAGCTTTTTGGAACCGTGTGTCGGACGTGAAGATGGGGAACTTTTTTTTTGTTTTTTTTTTTATGTGCGACAAAATGCGCAGAATTGGCGAAAGATATTTTGATTTATTTTCCACAGCAAACTATAAGTTAAGTATATAAATTAAGCGGCGTTGTCCGGTTCAACTCCTTTGCGCTAGACCGCTCCTTAGCGCTAGACCTCGTCTACCATCCCTACCCCCAATGAATGATCATGATCATTTGATCTTACCCTGGTTAAGCACATCACGTGCTGCTAACACTGAAAAGGGCTTCATATGAAAATGTTTAAGTATATTAATTTTTAATTATTAACAGGCATGTCTGTGCTTTGTTTTCATTGCTTTTTTCTATGTAAGCAGCAAATTATAGAAACATATTTAAAGACTGAAAGTTTCTGTTGCATTTGAACCGGCGACCTTGCGCTTGCCTGTAATACGTTTAAGTCATGTTGCTTTCGCCAAGCACACTTATTTGTCAGCGCTCTTCATCATGTTTTTCATACAAACAACTTGAAGGGAAGCTTCAGTAAAAATTTCAGTTTCCTTACGGCTTGACTTCTCTCTGCTTTGATCACAGTTCAGCCAGGGAATCAATCAGACTCTTTTTTATGCAAACAGATAGGGAATAAGTGGCCAAAAAAAAAAGGGCATTTCAAACGTGTTCAGTTAATTTTAAACATCGCATGTTCATTTTACGTTGATTTTTTAAGCCCACATAAGAAAGAGAATCTTTTATCACATAAAACTGGCCATACTGAAGGAATCTCAAAGGCATATTGACGGGCCTCGTGATGGCATGATAAAGCCGCAATGCAAATTTTGTGTGGAGCAGGCGCAACAAAAAGCTGCAAAATAACCAAAGCAAGAAGCAGACGGAGAAGCAGCAAAAGCAACAGCATTGATAAAGGCAACAAAAAAGAAGCATTTAACGCAAATTCCAAAAAGGAAAATGAAGTTGGGCAGCAAAAAGAAAAAATAAGAACAAAAAAGGAGAAAAAAAAAACTGAAAACTGGTTTCTCCCTTTTCCTTTTCAAATACAGTTGCTTTCCGAGAACGCCAAGAGAGAGAGATGCGACCAAAGGCGAGAGAGATGGCGACCGGGCGGGATAATGGGGTATATACAGCAAAAGCTGTGGCTCCTCGAAAGAGGCAACATTTGCCGCATGCCACAGAAGAAGCAGACCCCCCCCCTCCCACCACCTTGCCCATCCATATTCTCCAACAAAAGAGCAAAGGGCACGGCAGGGAGAAGCGAGCAGACGCAGAACGCCAGACAAACGATTGCGTTTTTCTGCTGCTTTTTGTTTGCCTGGGCAAAGTTTCGGTTTTTAGGGCGTGTTTGAAAATATTTGAAAATTGCATTTGCTGTGCGAGAAGAAGGAGCAAAAGATTTGCTATTGGTGTTGATGCCATTTCTAATTTCGCTGATTTATGGCCCCAGCAGCAGCAGCAGCAGCAGCTAAAGGAGAAGCAGAAGCAGAACAGACAGAACACTTCCAGACTGTCTGGGGTTTGGCTCCAGCTCTGAGTCACATGACCTGCCTGAACTTGCCTTAATGGCTTTTTATTAGTCTGTCTCACTCTCTCTCTCTCTCTCTCTCTCTCTTTGTCTCTCTTGGACTATAAAATATGATCTTGACTTTGTCTAACACCTCTGCACATGCCCCTGATCCCCACACCCCTCTTCGACAAGCTCTGGCTGCAACTTTATTAAATTTTACGCATTTAAAATGCAATTCACGATTTTTGTTCGATTTGTTTGCTTTTTAACAACGACAACAAAAAACATTAACAACTTATGACCAAATCTCTTCGTTTTCGTTTGAAGTACAGTTATTTATATATGAATATATATATATACATAGATATATACACGCTCAGACACACATATGTAGAAGTCATGTGTACTTATGATAATTCTGCCATATTTCAATTTGTTGGCAGACTCTGACGCATCTGTGGTTTCTTTTTAGCCTTATTTTTGCGGTTTGTTTTTTGGCGGCTTTTGGTTCTTTTTCTTACTTTTAAAAAATTAAAATATTTCTGTTTGCACGCAAAATTGAGCAAATATTGACAGCGAAGCAAGAAAAGAGCCAAAAACAAATAAACAATATCATGGGGAACTGAAATCGATTCAGACCAGAAAAATCAAACCAAATAAATACCTTTAATATAGATCTATAGATATACAGATATATATAGATATATAGATATACAGATATATAGATATATAGATATTGATTTTGATATAGATATAGATATGGTTGTAGATCTTTTCCAACACTCCACAAAATACCAAGTGGAAGATTTCCAACACTCCACAATATACAAAGTGAAAGATTACGTTTTACACAAATCCATTATACTCGCCATATGCAATTGGCTTGATTGATTGGGTAACTAGTGAATGAGAGAAATGCGAGTTAATTGTGATATCCAGAGATTATAAAGTGCCAGCACTTACGGAGATGATGCGCTAGAATTCCTCAAAAGCCACCAGCCGAGATGAATGATGAGCGCGACGCGAGCCAAGTTGTCATTCACAATCGGGCTATTCACACCGTTTGCCAGGAGGCAAATCGCTGCGGCCGGCAGCAGGCAGCAGGCAGCACGTGGCTGGCGGCAGCCGGGGTTTGCCGGGTAATTATGCGAGCTGAGAAATGATGGAAACCCGGTAGCAGCCACTCACAAATAACTCACAACCGCTCAGCATTAATTGCATTCGCATTTGCCTGACCAATTAATCTGCAAGTTAATCGTATTTATTAATGCTGCCGCTGCCGCTGCTCGCTGACGTCGACGTCGACGGCGACGGCGTCGACGAGGACGAGGACAAGGCAGCTGGCGAGTTGGTTGATCATAAATTGAGCAACTGCAGCATCAGATCAGCGCATTGAGCCGATCTAATTGCAATGGGCAGGCGGTAATGCCTGATTGCAGCTAGCGAAAACATCAAAGATAATCGACTCAAATTTACCCTGTAATCTTAAAGTCATTTAAGACAATGCGCCAAACTTCAAACATGTAAAAACTAAACAAATACGTTTTAGTGATATTCGAAATTCCAACCGCAACGGTGGAAAATTCGTGTAAATCAACTTTTTTGTTTACCATTTGTGGAAATTCAGTGCTGAATTGTGTCACACTTTCTGTTAAATCCACCTTACCGGGTGAAAATGTTTGTATGAGCTAGAGTTTAAGTTAGGTCCGATCAGCATAAAACTCTGCTTTATAAAAAAATTATTTCACCTTCGGAAAATAAGTAACATATCATGTTACTTTTACTCTTTCATCCGGTTGTTCTCAAACTCACTCAAATTTGAGCAGCAATGTTGTTAAGTGGAATCGACTCTAGAGTTGCCCATAAGAAACTGCATACAAAGTTTTACAACTGAAGCTCACCCAGTTCCCGAGTTCACATAGTTCCATGAGAGACTTGGGTATCTAAGCGACGCCTCACTTTGGCGCAAGCTAACAACACGACAGTGATTACAGGGTATCAAAAGCAATCAAAGCCCGCATCTTAAGTCCACACAACAGCTGAACCTCGAAATCAAGAACAGCAGAAAGCGAAAAGGGGCAGCAAGCGTCGCCCCAACCATAATACTAATAAAAAAGAAGCTCGGGAACAGGCAAACCCAATGCCTTACATAGAGTTTGGCAAAGAGTTCTGTTAGTCGACTGCAGCAGCAGCAGCAGCAGAAGAAGATCCAAGGAAGAATCGAGGAAGGCCACAGCCGAAGCCAAAAGCCGACGAACATCTGCGGCAAACGAACTTCAAAAATAGAGAGAAGGCAAGAGAGAGAGAGAGAGAGAGAGGCAGAGAGAGAGATGAAACATAATAATAATAAATAAGGAATCACAGTTGGGCCACAGACAACAGGATCAGGTAATTCCGGTTTGCACTTCTTTTTATTATTATTATAATTTCTGTTCTTCGTTCTGAGCTCTTCTTCTTCTTTTTTTTTTTTCTTTTTACTCTCTTTCATTTTTTCTGGACAGCAGCGCCTCCTGTTCGTATTACCCGTTGTCCAGGCTTACTTTAAAGGGTATATCGCGTGTTGGGTTTTGATAAGATTCATCTTACAGCTCGCAAAATAAGAACAAATGCTTAAGATCTTAATACTCTGCGATTCTGAATACAGGGTATATTGGTTTTGTGCAGTTACCGTTGGACTCTCTGTCGGAATGCAACTATAAGATTGAGAGTTTTCGACTTTGATTACAGAGCTTAATCCAAAAAGATGCCATCCTTGAATTCTGCAAATTTACTTAAATTTCTGCATTTACAGTTTGAAAGTCACAGTCTTAGGTCTGCAACAGTTTTAGAATTACAAAACCTTTTGTAAGGTGGTCTATTTTTAGCTGTTGTGACCAAACTAGTCGAAGACTCGAATTGAGGTTCGTCGCAACTTCCCTTGCCTTTAGGTTCGGTTCGGTTCGGTTCGGTTTGCAGCCCTGCTTGTGACTTCCCTGTACAGAGTATTGCGCAGTCGTGAAGCTTGCTTATTTGTTTTATTTTTTTTTAACAAATGTTTCCTCAAGATTAATTTGAATGTTGCCTAGAAATAGAGCATCTATAAGTGAAGTGTTGCACTTCCTTTAGTTGATTATTATTTTTAATTTATTTTTTTTTTATTTTTTTCAATCAACGTCAGGCGAAGAAGCATCTAATGCCCGGACCAACTGGCCCAGAGAAACAGGAATTTTGTGCTCAGAAGGCACTGAGAGAGGCGATTGCAGCATTCCTGCACCACCCTCTCCCTCTCTCTCTCTCTCTCTCTCTAGCTCTCTCTCCCTCCCGCCTTCTTACCCTCTCCGGATCTTTGCCTTGTGGCAGCGCTTGACTAGAGGTCCATGTTTCTGTCCGTGACTTGTTTGTTTGCTGGGTCTCTGTGGCTATTTTTAAATCCCCAACTTTAGCTGCTGCCGCTCCACCGTTGCCCGCTCGCCCACCCCCTTGTTCCTTGCTGCAAAGGATACACCGCTGGCCAAGTGGTTGCCGGCTGGCCGCCTAATGTGCGCGGCCCGTTGGGTGGAACATTCCGAACAGGTTTTTGGTCATTGCCATCGCCAGAAGAAGATCTAACAGGCGGCTGCTGCAACCGCGGCCGCGACCACGACTGCGACTGCGACTGGGACTCGCTGCTGGATTGCTGGATTATTGATTGCTCTGGGTCTCTGGGCGAACTTGTGCGGCTTAGAACCGCGCGCGCGCTCCCTCTCTCTTTCTCTCTCTTTCTCTCTCTGTTGCTCCTGCTCTTCTGGTTATGCACCCCCAGCAAAATAGTTGAGAGACATTTGCATTTGTCGCCTTGCTCAAGTACACGTCGCAGTCTCTAGTGGGAAGTCAGGAGTTGAAGAATCGAAAAGCTAGGAATCAGCACTCGAGAGTTGGGGCCTTGGCGCAGTCACAAGTCGAAAGTCGAAAGTCCAAAAGTCTTGAAGTGAAGCAGTTGTAAGACAGCCAGCTGACAGTCTAGAGTGGAGTAGTTGAGAGCTGGGAACTAACTGTTGGCCTCAAGTACGAGGTGTTTGTAGTCGGGCGTTAGCAAGCCAAGAAATCATCAGCAGGGTGTTCAAAGTCAAGCAATTGGTAGTCGAAAGTCATATTTATATACAGGAGTTTGGAGTTTAAAGAATTGCGTATCGAAGATCGCAGAGCCGAATCAGTCCGTCGAGATGCGAGTCAAAAGAATTGAGATTCGGCCGGCTTTCTGGCCATGCGTGGTCAGGTATCAGTCGAAATTTGTACATTATTTGTTTTGTACTAGTTTGGCCAATGCGTTCGAGGAATTATTATTTATTGGGCCCCGCATCTGGTCGCAAACTGAAAAAGGCCGCCAACTGCCTGCGGGCCAATGATGTCTTTGTTTATTGCTCCGGTTTATTTTGTTTTCTTCTCTTTTTGGCTGCCAATCGTTTCGGGCGACTATTGCCAAGACTGCGACTCCGATTGGCAGGGAGCCAGGGAGGCAGGCAGGAGAGTGCTTTGCCAAGACATCGGCCAGCTATGCTAATTAGCCATCAGGCCAAGTCTTTGCTGAGCCGCAGACGTGGCCAGAGCAAAGCCGCAGCGCCTTAATTGACAGCTCTGCTTGGGCAGTTCTAATGGCAATTGTATAGCCTCTCAGATCTGGACTGGGACTTGGACTTGGACTTGGGAATCGGAAATCGGATAGCTGGCCAATAGCTAAAATAAATGAGCCAAATGCCATTGGCAAAAGCTGATGGCCAACAGGCAAATCTAATTAAAGCCAATATTTCCAGCGTCCAGCTGTTTTTGCTGTCCATTCCGCACGCCAGATGGCGCTCTTTGATCATCGCCAAATGAACCAATTGAAATAAATCTACCTCGATTGATCCACAGCTTTGAACTCCGTAACCAATTCGATCTACAGCTCAATTACTTTGTGTTTAATATACGACAGACTGCATGTCAAATTTTCTGTTGCGAGCTCTTTAAACGTTCACAAGGTATACAAAGTAAGGAATGAGTTAAGCTTAAGCGGAATAATTTCCATTGAAGTTATCTATCTGCTTAACATCTAATATATACACCTATTTCCCATGAATAAAATAAACCCCTGATACGTAAAAATTTGTTTTAACAACTCCTCACAATTTGGGCGCAAAGTCTGAATACTTTTAGCGAAATTTTCTCTCAGTTCAGAAATATTTATATATTATACAAAAAATCTTTAATGCTTTCTAGGGCTAAACAAAAAAACCTGCGAATCGTCAAGGATGAGGAATTGGCAATTCCATTAGATGGATGTACGAAGCAGCGGACATCCTGCAGGAATATCTGAAGCGCCTCGAAAACTGGGCTTGTAGGTGAAATATCTCAGTAAGCCCCCATAAATGTGCTACGGTCACTAAGGTCACACCCTGCGCAAGGGCTCCTGCCTAGAGCAGGTGCGTGACCATAAATACCTAGGGATAGCACTCGACAGACGACTTACGTTCAAAAAACATGTGACCGAAGAAACCAACAACTTGAAAAGCAAAATCAGGCGTCTGAGCTGGCTGCTAAGCCCTCTCTGGAGCCGATTGGTATATTCGCACACGAGAAATCGCAAAAGAACCCCAAGGTTTCTATGGTAGGAGACGTTATTAAGCGACAAGCAGCAAGCTACCTATTTATGCTTCGCAACGACCCTATTTCCTTTCAAGGAACCTGCTAAGGTGGCGAAGAAGAAGGAGATTAAACAATAATGATAATAAATTAACATGTATATACACATGCACATTGTAAATATTTAAATTGAGCTATCATTAACCAAAACTCACGCTGATAAAAATTGCTTAAAAATTGCACAAAAAAAGGTGAAAAGTGATAAAAAGAATTGAAAAGTAAATAATTACAACAAATAAAGCACAAATTTATTATATCATACCATCAACCATCCCGCCTTGTAATGCTCATTACTTTCTAAAAGATATATTCCTTGAAAAGGATAAATTAAACAATTAAAAACAAAATTATTTTGACAGTTTAAAGAATTTATACAGGTCTACAATTACAGAAAACGCCGCAAACATAAATATAAAATAAAGAAAAACTTTTTTAATTACATTAAAAAATACTTATATCGACTAAAGACTCTGAAGCGTAAAATGCGAGTCAGCCCTAACAATGTGGGCGCAAAGTTTGAATATAAGCGCAATTATTTTGAATTTAGAAGAATGTATATTTTATTCAAAAATATATATATAAATATTTAATATGCTTTTTATTGTTTCAATATGAACGCGTATACAAAAGCCCAACGGATTCGAAGTGATGAGGATCATGCAGGACGAACCAACCAAAACACGTTAAGGAATCCATAAAGAGTTGCAAAAGGGAAATACTTGTGGCAAAAGAGAATGAAATACCCATACACTAATATCCTTTGAAAAGGATATGATTTTGTCAATATTGTTACTGAATTATGTTGTTTTCAGTTTGAAACGAAAACTAGACAAAAACTAATCTCAACACTCAAGACTATATACGCGTCTCCAATTCCAGCAAAAGCCATGGCCATTTAAATTAAACATAATAAAAAGCTACTCTTTAAAATATAAACACAAAAATAGGGACATTCACTTTATGCCTTACAACTTTTTATCGGCCATCAATCAATGGGAAAGCCTTTTTCAAAGTATTAAAATCTCTGTAGGATTAAAGATTTTGTATGTCAATAAGCGGGACAAGCTCGCACAAAGTGGGCGCAAAGTTTGAACACTTGAACCCAATTGTGCTTTAAATAGAATTATTGTGAATTTAATAAAATATAAAATATATAAGAAACTTAAGACAAGTTTACGTTGCTTACTAAATCGTGCCCAAAAGCGGGCGGAATCTAAGTGATGAGGATCATGCGAATCCCGACAACCAAAACTTAGCCAATAAATTAACAACAAATAAAACTCATCAACTTATTAAAACCAAAAATTAAATAAAATAAATAAACGTAAATAGTAAAGTCTCATGGTTGGGAAAAACTCATTGTAAATTGTTTTATTTTCTTGATATTGTCAAACTATTTCAAATACAAAAATATATGTATATTACTTGTCGTTGACTTTCACCCACAAGCTGTCACAGCTTTAGAAGTTAACAAAAATTTATAGAAAAATTAAAAAAACAAGGAGGTTAAAGAAAATAATAAAAACAGATCTGTTCCCGACGAGCTACGGAACCAGACTGCGCAGAGGGATAGGAGCCAAGCCAACTTAAATGCTTTGGCCAAGCTTTTTACAACACTGTTTTTATCCAGTGCTTTAAATTTAAAATGTAGGTGTTGTAAAACGGAAAAGCCAATGCAAACTTCGTTTACGAGCATTGCCGAGAATATAAGAAATATTTGCAGACAGTTAATTGAAACATATTTTTTGCTACAGTTGACACAAAAAAAGTTACTGCAGACATAGAGATAAAGTCTAGGATTCACGATTCGCTTTGAGATACATAAAAGAAGAGAGACTGTGGTATTTTTTTTGTTAGACAAGACAGCAGTATGGTAATAAAAATACAAATCGAGCAAGCTCGTGTAGCCGAAAGTTCTTCGAGTCAACCGAAAACTGACAGCGAGCTGTCAATCAATCAGTCGAGCAAAAGGTTTGTCAATTGTGAGGCAAAAGTTCGATTTTGTTTAAAAGGATGGGGAAGTGCGTTACATCAGAGTCGAGGTGTTTAGATTGGGGCAAGATCAAGGTGAACACTTTAAGCCGCTTCATGATGTGTTAAAATTGTTGCAACAACAAAAACAAGACAAA